GCTCGCTCGGGGTTTGTCAGAGTCTCCGCTCCGTCCCAGCTCCTCCAGGCGCAGCCAAGTGATGAGACGTCTCCGGAATCGCTGCACCTCCGTGATGATGCTCTTGAACCCTTGATCTCTGATGGCCGCGACCGTTCCTGGGCAGTACATCCAGCCTGGTTTCTGCGGGATCGCAGGGTGGGAGTGGCACATCTGGCAGAGATGAGGTGTCCTGAGGGCTGTCCCATGGATGGGGCCAAGGAGAGCAGTAGCACCTGCATTGTATTAGCCATGGTGTGGCAGCAGGACCAGGGCAGTACTTGTCCCTCTGTGCTGTGGGCACAGGTGAGGCCACACCTGGAATTCTGGGGACAGGTTTGGGCCTCTCTAAGATAGAGGGGCTGGAGGATCTCCAGGGGAGGGAATGGAGCTGGGGAATGGTGTGGAGCACAAGGAGTAGCTGTGGGCCTCAGCCTGGAGAAAAGGAGGCTCAGGGGGAACCTTCTGCTCTCTACAACTCCTTGACAGGAGGTGCAGCCAAGTGGGGTTGGGCCATGTTCCCATTAGACAGATACAGAGCAAGGGGAACCAACCTCAGGCTGTGACAGGAGATGCTTAGGGTGGATATTAGGGAATATTTCTTTATGAGAAAGGTTGTTAAACATTGGAGTGTGCTAGCCAGGGGGGTGGTGGAGTCACCATCGCTGGAGGTGTCCAGGGAACGACTGGACGTGGCACTCAGTGCTCTGGTCTAGTTGCCAAGGTGGTGGTGGGTCACACGTTGAACTGGATGATCCTGGAGGCCTTTCCCACCCTGACTGCCCCTGTGACATTCCAGGAGGAAGGCTCGGCAGGCCAAGGCTCGCCGCATTGCCCCCCGGCCCGTGGCTGGGCCCATCCGGCCCATCGTCAGGTGTCCCACCATCAGGTACCACAAGAAGGTTCGTGCTGGCAGAGGCTTCAGCCTGGAGGAGCTTAAAGTAAGTACAGAGCATTGATCGAAGTGAGTGGACTTCCAGTCTGAGCTCAGTTGCTCATCCTGTCCTGCTGTCAGTACCTCAGCCAGAGGAGACCGAGGCGTTCCTGCTCTGGGAGCAAGGAAACACTGGGATCACCTGGAACTGTGCAGTGAAAGATGCTTTGAAGGGTGAATGTCTGCTTGTCTAGTCAGACTGGCACTTAAAATTCCATTCAAGTCAGACTGAAATAGGGGAAATGTAGGTTGGATTCATGGAAAGAAATCCTCTCTGTGAGGGTGGTGAAGCTATGGCACAGGTTGCCCAGAGCCGCTGTGGCTGCTGCATCCCTGAAATTGTTCCAGGCCAGGTTGGATGGGGCTTGGAGCAACCTGGGCTAGTGGAAGGTGTCCCTGCCCATGGCAGGGGGTGGAATGGGGTGAGGTTTAAGGTTCTTCCAACCCAAAGCACTGCATGACTGTATGAAAATTGGATTCTGGAAGAGCCTTGAGTCTCCTTAACTTCTTCTTATGGGGAGGGGAAGATTAATATCTTAATTAACTTCTTTTCTTTTTTTCTGAAACACTTTTCTGCCAATCCTAACTATTTTGGCCAATGTGTTTGTGTTGTGACTAAGTAAACTGAGGTCAGCTGACTTCTGAGAGCATCGGGGTGGTTGTACCAGGAGGAGCCTCCTGGAGCAGCTGGGGTAGTTGGTGTAGGAGCACTTCAACTCTGTGGGAGGTGTTTCCTGTACTCCATTCCTTCAGGAAAGTGTCCTGTACCCTGCCCAGGTGTGCTGAGTGGTTCTGGGCTGTGGTGGTCTGCAGGGACCTCCCACCACATATCTGAGCAGTGGGCAGGAGCCACATCAGTGCCTGCTGGCAGCCACCAGCCACCCCTGTGCATGGTTCAGTACCTAATTAAAACATTCATCACTGAAATTGGGGCACTGAGGCAGGAAAATAGCTCTTGTGGGAGTCAAAGCTTCATTACTTTGCTGTTCTTTAGTCTCTGGGTGATAGTGGAACAAAGCAGGACACAGCTGTTTGTCTTGGAACTGAAATGAGTTTGGTGTTTAAGATGGGTAAAAAAGTCCTTATTTAACAGAGCTCCGAGTGAACCAGTTCTGCATGTCCTGACTCACAGATGTCTATGTGTATCCAAGCTTAAATCTCCCCTCAGGGGTTGCACTTTGCTATCCTGAGGAAATCCACCTGCAAAGATGAAACCCTGAGGAGCATTTTAAGCAGTAAGATACACGAGGACACACTTTGGGGGTAGTGCTGTCGGTCTCTCTGTCAATGCCAGCCTTCCCCAGCCCCTGCAGCCCCTGCTGGCTATGCTAGGCCCCCTGTGTGTCTGCTGTTGGGAGCTGTGGGATGCTGACACCACTCCCTCTCCCCGCCAGCTTGCTGGCATCAACAAGAGATTCGCACGGACGATCGGAATCTCTGTGGATCCGCGGCGCCGGAACAAGTCCACTGAATCCCTGCAGGCCAACGTGCAGAGGCTGAAGGAGTACCACTCCAAGCTCATCCTCTTCCCGAGGAAGCCAGCCATGCCCAAGAAGGGAGACAGCTCTGTAAGTACTTGACTGCTGGGAATGTGTCACAGGGGCTGGTTCCAGTCCGGGTTTGGGAGATTTGGTGCTGAGCCCATCCTGGTGCTGTGGGGTGCAGGCAGGGATTGCTGCTGGACCTGCACACTGTCCCAGGGGCCAGAACACACATCCTGTGAGGAGAGACTGAGGGACTGCAGGGGCTCAGCCTGGAGAGGCGGAGGCTCAGGGAGCCTTAACAGGAGGTGCAGTCAGATGGGATCAGGCTCTTCTCCCAGGGAACAAGGGACAGGATGGGAGCAAACAGCTTCAGGTTGTGCCAGGGGAGGTTCAGGTTAGATGTCGGGGAGTATTTCTTAATGGAAGGGGCTGTCAGGTGTTGAAAGGGGCTGTCCAGGGCCGTGGTGAAGTCACCATCCCTGAGTGAATGTGGTACCTTGAGCACATGGTTAGTGGTGTTTGGTTCTGGGCCTGGCAGGGTCCAGTCTCACAGGGCTCTCTGGGTCAGGGTATTGCTTCGGGCAGCCTTTGGCTGAGGGACTGCAGACCTGTCTGGGGACTGATACCTGTGACTCTGATCCTTCTCCAGCCAGGTGGGATGTAGTTCAGGGAGCTAAACTGTCAGAATGGCTGAAAATCCCACCTGGAGTCAGCCTTGCCAGGACAGGCTCTGTGGGCAGCTCTGTGGAGCTGTGTGCCAGAAAGGCTCCAGAAGGTGTTTGCTCTTGACATTCAGAAATGGTTTCATTAAAACCTCTCTGAGAGCAGAGTGGAGCTGTGTTCCTTGGCTGTGCCAGTGGTACATACGCACCTCCTGTGGGGCCCTGCGAGCCACCAGGCAGCACTGCTCCAACTGTCCTCGAGCTTCCAGTGTTGGCTCTGAGCTGCTAACCATGGTGGAGCCCTTGGAGTGGGGAGGAAAGGCCTTGAGCTTCCCTACCAGTTCATGCAGGTCTGAAATACTGGTTCAGATGTGTTTGCTAGAAGTAACTATATACAAAATAAACCTTCAGTCTTTTTTTGCTTGATGCCATAGTGTTAGAGGAAGCTGGAATCAGCTTAGGAGGAGTCACTGGGGAATGTGTTGGGTATATATGAGCTGGAGGGGCTCAGCCTGGGGAAAAGGTGATTCAGGGGGAACCTTCTGCTCTCTACAGCTCTCTGATAGGGGGTGCAGCCAGCTGGGGCCAGGCTCTGCTCCCAGGGAACAAGGGACAGGACAAGGGGAAATGTTCTCAGGTTCTGCCAGGGGAGGTTCAGGTCAGACATCAGGAGGAGTTTATTCATGGAAAGGGCCATCAGGGATTGCAGTGTGCTGCCCAGGGAGGTGCTGCAGTCACCACCTCTGAGGGTGTTCAAGGGCTGGACTCAGTGTTCTCCTCTAGCTGACAAGGTAGTGATGGGTCACAGGTTGGACTCGATGGTCTTGGAGGTCTTTTCCAACCTGAATGATTCTGTATCAACCTGAAAGTGGCACAGTTGGTGTCAGAGCTTTACCAGCTGGCAGGGGCTGCTGTTCCTCCGACCGGATCCAGGCACAACGTGGGTTGTCCTGCATGTCTGTGCCAAACCCTCCTCAAGTGTTGGATTCATTACGGTTTGGTGTTAAACCTCTCAGCAGGATCGTTAACACCTCGTTTCAGCTGGGTACCTGCCTGCGGGCCCTGCTATAACTGAGGTTTTACCCTGAGAAGTTTAAGTTTTGTGATTTTAACACTTTCTGTCTTCTCTTTGCACAGCCAGAGGAGCTCAAGATGGCCACGCAGCTCACAGGACCTGTTATGCCCATCAAGAATGTAAGTGTAATTAAATCCTGCTCCTTGTGTGACATGATTGAGATGAAACTCTGTGGAGAGAGTTCTTTCCTTGCTGACGCCACTGAGGGTGTCTGTCTTCAGGCACTGCCCATCCTGGATCATACAAAACCCAGGAATAAGTCTTTGAGAGAACTCAGACCTGTGAAATTTGGGGCAGTTTGAGTTGTAGCTGGATTGGGGGTATACAGGCAGGTTCTGTGGTCACTGCTTGTTCCTAAATCCTTACTGTTTGTCCCCAAACCATCTCAGTTACCCAGATCTCCTGTTGATAGTACCACAAACCCTAACAGGAGGTGCAGCCAGGTGGAGGTCAGGCTCTGCTCCCAGGGAACAAGGGGCAGAGTGAGAGGGAACAGTCTCAAGCTGTACATGGGGAGGTTTAGATTGGATATTAGGGAAAATTTCTTCATGGAAGTCCTTCATTCTGTCAGGAATTGGAAGGGACTGCCCGGGGAGGTGGTGGAGTTACCCTCCCTCCCAGGGAACAAGGGGCAGAGTGAGAGGGAACAGTCTCAAGCTGTACATGGGGAGGTTTAGATTGGATATTAGGGAAAATTTCTTCATGGAAGTCCTTCATTCTGTCAGGAATTGGAAGGGACTGCCCGGGGAGGTGGTGGAGTTACCCTCCCTAGGGAGGGATTTAACAGCTGTGTGGATGTGACACTTGAGGGCGTGATGGTGGTGTTGGTCTGATGGTTGCACTCTTAAAGGTCGTTTCCCGTTAACAACTCTTGATTCCATGAAACCTGACTCACATTTCCCATGGGGCTTGCTTTCATCCCCAGTCCATTGTTCTCGGCGCTGACTGGAGCGCAGTGCCTGTGCAAAGGCCAGGAGCACTCTGCTCCCGCGGGGGATGGATCCCTCCCAGCCTCGGATCCAGGCCCTGCAGCACCTCCTGACTGTCTGCCCATCTCTCCCCAGGTGTTCAAGCGGGAGAAGGCTCGTGTCATCACGGATGATGAGAAGAACTTCAAGGCCTTTGCCAGCCTGCGCATGGCGCGGGCCAATGCGCGCCTCTTCGGCATCCGCGCCAAGCGCGCCAAGGAGGCAGCGGAGCAGGACGTGGAGAAGAAGAAATGAACTGTTACCCCCAGAGCTCTCAATAAAAATCCCTAGAGAGATCAGTGTACTGTGTTTGTGGGGCACATGGATCCAGCTGTGCTGCCCCTGGGGGTCTGCCGGGATGGGAAACCTCGTCTGCTGAGATTGGTGTCTCCAAAATCCCCTGGAAGCGAGTGAAACACCTGCCTTGTGCCCACTCCTGCCTTGTCTGCAGTCTGGGCTTCCTCCTGCCCTGGCTCTGAGGAGCTTTGGGGGTTCCTGCTCCATGCCAAGCTCTGTCTGCTCCCCTTTCCCTGCCTTCCATGCCAGTATTCCAGCTTTAATGATTTCCACACCTCTGTGAGGCAGAGCAGGAGAAGGTGAGGTGGTGTGGGTGTGGCCCATGGATGCTGGGCGGTGCTGCCTGTGCACCAGTGCTTTCCCTGCTTTTGGAGGGCCACAGGTGTGTCCCAGCCCCTCAGCTGGACTGGGATGGACAGAGTCCCAGGGCTGGAGGCTGCTGCCCTCCCATCATGTCTTCCCAGCCCTCAGCTCAGCAGCTGGTGCTATTCCTGGGGTCCTTCCAGCCATTTCTTCATGGCTTTAAAGGCCACCTACGTGTGGCACTTGACATGGTTTGTGGTGGCTTCTGCAGTGCTGGGGGAATGTTTGTAATTTATGATCTCAGGCCTTTTCCAGCCTAAAAGGTTCTGTGATGCTTCAGTCAAGTGGCTCACAGAGGGGCCCAGCCCTTCCCTGGAAAAGGGCTGGGGTAGCTCTGGCCCATCCTCGTGGCTGCTGGGGGTCCAGGACAGGCAGAGCCTGTCATAGGGAGCTGATTAATTCCAGGGCTGTGTCGGTGGGATTGGAACTGCTCCAGGAGGGCTCATCCAGCCTGTTGCTGCCTCATCGGTTCTGGGACTGTCCTGCAGCCTGGCTATGCTGTGGTTCTCTGTGCCAGTATAATGGAGTTGTCTTCATTAGCAGGTTGGAAACAGAAACTCAGGGTTGGGAAGCTTTCACAGCTGGATGAATCTTGGGCTGTTCACACAGGCAAGAGGTGCTCAGTGTGGGGCTGCCTGTGCTATAGCTGCTGACACTCCAGCCCCTCGGCCCAGACCTGATGTCCCACCATGGGTTGGTGTCTCCTGCCCCACTAGGCCTTGCTGGGGGCTGCAGGGGGGAGCAGGAAGGAACGTGGCCTATTTCTGCCAGGCAGGCTGGGGATTAGCTCCCACAGCCCAGGCCCGGCGGTGCCCTCGTGCTTATTAGCCCTATCTGCATTTTAATCCCTCCAAATTTGGGCTAATTACATCATCTTCCATAAAGCTGAGCTGACAGTGCTGCAGCGCTGGGGGGAC